GTTTTTTTTTTCCCCCCCCCCCCCCCCCCAAAAAAAAAAAAAACGTATACCTTTGCTTCCCCTTGAAAAAAGATACCTAGAGGAGGAGAAAATGTAGCCTGAATAGTAAGGAAAGGATTAATGGTTTATCATGTTTTTGAATAGTAGTAAAATAGATTTATAAAGTAGTTGACTTGAAAAGTATCAAATGTTGAAAAGCATTTTTAGGTATTGAAATTGATTTTATGAATGATAGTTGTATGTTTGAATGAAAGTGTTCAAACTGATAATAAATAGTTAGAGATTATAAAAGATATTAGTGATAAAAACGTAACAAATTTGATTAAATCAACTGTGAATCATGAACTGATGATAACCAACTTAGAACTTATAAGCACTTTCAATATTTGTCTTCATCAACTCAGTGGTGGATGCTGGATTTTTATTAAGGGGTGTCAAAAAAACGGATGCAGAATTCTCATAAAGGGGTGTCAAAAAAAAAAAATGAGGTCAATAGGGCTTGAACACAACAACCTTAAGGAACTTTTGCAACCCCTTAATCAGTAGACTAAACATTCTGTGTCAAGAGGTGTCAATACTTATATATATATTTTTTAAACCTCTATATACAATGTAATTTTCCGGCGAATGGGTGTCACTTGACACCCGTCGGCCAAGGTGGGTCCGCCCCTGCATCAACTTATGATTTATAAGCACTTTCAATATTTGTCAAACACCTTAAACGAATAAAATATACTTGAACAAAAACAGCCGATACCTAAATTGTGCATAAAATATGTCTTCCTATGTGAATATTATCCCCCTCAATCATCGGTATGAAATTGAATTTGGGAGTCATTATCACAATTCACAAACCAACAAGTATATATATTTTGACTAATTTGCATGAAGAAATTAAACCAACGACAAAATCATAAGCTAAGCTTTCGTCACATATTATCTCATGTGTAACAAAATTTTGGCTAATAGTATGTCTCCACTTGATGACATCATTTATTTTGAAATATAAATATCCCGCGAAAATATGACAATTAATATCGAACTGTGAAAGTAACATTTATTATTGAAAAGAAATAAAAAAAAAGTAGTAATATAGTCTAATTTTTTAAAATTATTTTGTTTGGAATTTTCGTTCCTTCTAATAATTATTTTTTTGAGAATTGTTCCTTCTTTTTTTATTTTCAATAAAGGAACGGCGGATGGATGAGGGAGAATTCTAAGCCCCAAAACTTCACGATGAAGGACACTACCATATTTTCCACTTCCACCGTCCGCTTTTTGAAGCACCACAAAATTTTCGGTCTATCAGTTATTGATTGCTATCGATTTAATTGTTAATATTTGATTTAAAGAAATAATTGAAAAACTTATTTAGAAATAAGGTGACAAACCAAATGAATCATGCACATAATTTGACAGATTACATCTTGCTTAAAAGAAAACACACTTACATTGTAGAATAACTAAGAGTTCGAGACAGTCAGAAATAAAAATATGAAACTAAACTCTAAGTCAAGGACTTTATATATCAAATGATATAAATATAATTATTTAATTTACTATCGGATTATCGATTAACTCGTTAAAAAACATCAAACAGTTATGAATCGATAACAAAAAAAAAATCAAAATTGTTACTGAAACCGCTAAATCAATAACTTTTTTTGATTCAAATTATCGATTTCGGTTCGATTTTGAACAACTCTAGTTTGATCGGAGGAATTAAATGAGTTATTTCGATATAAAATTTATTCTATAATTGAAAAAAATTACTTAAAATTATTATTCAATTACAAATATATTTATTTGATATTAAATTAAAGTGGGATGTATAATTTTGATTAATATATATAAAAAATTTATTTCGATATAAAATTTATTCTATAATTGAAAAAAATTACTTAAAATTATTATTCAATTACAAATATATTTATTTGATATTAAATTAAAGTGGGATGTATAATTTTGATTAATATAATATAAAAATTATAATTTCAAATAATTGGAATATGAACTGAGCGACCTTTATAACATATGACGAAAAGAGTAAATAAGTAAAGTATCATAAACTAATAGATATTCCTCCTTTTTAAATTAGAAGTTTTGGATTTAATATCTAGAAAATTAAAATTTGGTACGTTATACTTTACTTCTCAAAATGAACCTTTCGGCATGAGATAAAAATAAACGAACTTCAAAATATATAAAAATCGGATGTAAAAGAATAAAATAAGGGGGAAAGGTCAAGAGAATATTACTTATTAAAATGGTCACTTTTTAAAATATTTGGGTCATAGGATATTCTTGTCATCTTGACATTTAAGTTATTTATAAAAAATATATTTGGTCCATTTTTTATTCATTAATTATTTAATTATTCTCATCTACTAAAAAGAGTAAAGTTTAGCTCACTTTTGAAGGCTAGCTCCTAACTCCTAAGTCACAGTTTATACATATTGAAAAAGATAAACTAAAAAGGAGAACTCAGTCAACAAATTAAAAAAAAAATGTTATACAAAAAACAATTCAATGTTCGTAGTCTAATGTGATTTCTATTGGATTGTGTCATTTTCTCAATTTTTTTTGTAAATAAATTTATATTTCGAATTTGACTATAGAATATGACCTTGTATACCATTATTATTCAACCACATTGTATATATAGGACAAATTAGTATTCTTTACAATACAACTAACAACTAAATTTTTTTTTCTGATTATATTTTTTACTAATTTTATATTAATTTATTGAATATTTTTTACCGCGTTCTGAACTATAATTTTCAAGGAGTATCCCTTGACTCAATATCAATTGGTGTGTATATCTTACACAAGTAATATTCAGCCCATCTTTGCTATTGTAACTACGAGCTCCTAACCCCATCAACATCTTTGGAATATGAATAGAGCTCTTAAGTTGTGCGTTTGTGGAACTCTACTTTTAAACTCTGTCAAGTTGCACAAGATCCGTCATTTAGACGTAGAGTTAATACATAAAACTCTCTTTAAATTTTCATTATTTTGTAAATTTCTTATTTATATTATCTTATACGTAATTTTTTTTTATCATTAGGATTATACCTTATGACTAAATTTATTATTTTGACTTTAAAAAGTTCTTTAAACTATTATTTTTATCTCATTCAAATGCTACTAAAATACTTAATAATTATTTCACCTTAAAAACACCTAAGATAAGCCAATCTAAACACGCTCTAAATTGCGGAAGTCTATTTGCACGTTGGGTTAGAATATGAGTATTCTCAACCAAAGCCCATATCCATCTCAATCACAATAGGCCTACTTATAAGCCCATTAACATATTAGTGGGCTTATTATTAGTTTAAGAAGCAATTTTATGATCCAATATCAGCCGTAGGATCTAGGGCATCTTTCCCCTTATATAAACCCTACATATATTTTTCCCTTTCATTTAGCCCTTTCTTCTTCAGCCTCCAAAAACCAGAGAGTAGAGTTACAGAGCCGCCGTCAAAAATGGTGCAACGGCTTACTTACCGTAAACGGCATAGCTATGCAACCAAGTCGAACCAACATAGGGTTGTCAAAACCCCAGGTATAGTTTTATTATTTATCGCATTTCTTTTTTTTTATCTGTGGAATTAGTTTAGGTGCGTGAAAGATGAGGAAAAGGAAAAAGATATGTTTTTTTTTTGTTTATGGGATTTGGGTGTTTGGATATTGAAGAAAGTTTTGTGCTTTTTTGATTTTGGGTGTTGAAAAATTGAATTTTGAATAGGTGGGAAGCTGATTTACCAGACTACAAAGAAGAGGGCTAATGGACCTAAGTGCCCTGTAACTGGAAAGAGAATTCAAGGGGTATGTTTTTTATTGTTCTTTTGTTTTTGATTTTGTGTTAGCACTGTTTTGGATGAATGGCATTGATAGATTTCGATTGGTTTGTATGTAAGTACTGCTCTTTCTGGGAATGTGTTTGTTTCTGATGATAGAGTTGAGCTTTAGGTGGAAATCCTGTTATCTATTATGAGTATTAGATTTATCTTGGATGTTTTGATTCTAAACCATCCTTGAGCTGAGTTTTTATCAGAAAGAGCCTCTCTACTTACCAATGTAGGGGTAAGGTCTGTGTACTCGCTACCCAACCCATAACCCACTCTTGGGATTGAGATTGCACTGAGTGTGTTGGTTTTGTTGTGTTGATTCTACGCCATAGTTTGCTGATGTGTACAGGATATGTTAGTTTGGAGTGGATTATTATGAGGTATGATAACTGTGAGATTTAGAGAAAACATATAATATTGGAATGAAATGGACCTGAATATGGAGTAATTATTTCAGAAGACTGATTCAACCTGACTTATTTGGGGTTAACTTGTAGTTGGTTGATCCATTTATCTATGTTCTATTTGATTTCTTATTTACTAGAGAATTAACTAAAGACTCAGTTTTCAGCTCTCTAGAAATGTATGGAAGTGATAATGCCTCGTAACTTTGCTGTGGAATTCAGGATAGTATTGGTTATTGTGATTTACAAGGATAACCTAACCGTAATTTAAATATCAATACAAAGGGAGCATTTTTCTTGTACTATTTTCAGCATCTTTTGGTAAAAAATCCAATGTTAGGTTGTGTTGGGAGAAAGTGATTCATAGGTGGTGTGGAAGATGCTTTGCATTTGTAATTGTCAATCTATTTTTGGGTCATAGGTGACTTTACATCTTTGCGATCTCATATTAACCTTTCCCGTGTCTTATTTGCAAGTTCTTTGGGATTATATGTCAGCTATTCCCCCAACAATAGCATGTAATTTGCTGATAGGTTATCTTTGTGACTCCTGATAACATGATGTAACTATATACATCTAAATTAACATGCAGTTTTTTCAATATAGAGAAATGGATCAAGTTATCCCTCTATTGTGCAAAATACTCATTTTACCCAATCCTTTATGTTTTGTGCCATTCATACGCTTGCTGTTGAGCTCTAGCATAGACCAAGTGCATTCCACTCTTGAAAATACTTGGGTATAAAGGCTGAAATTTTTACCTCTATACTTGCTATTGTTTAAAAATACCATCTATTATACTTAAGTCCTAACCCATTAGGCTGCAAATGTGAGACAATTTGCTTACCACTAGTGTAAGATAACCTCATCAAGCTGGGCCTGATCACCAATGTTGTACAAAAAAGTGTATGAAGACAAGTATAACAAAGGGTAAACCTTTTAGGATATTTTGTGTAGCATCATTGTGTTTTAGTGTCAACTTCCCATAATAAAATGTAATATGCTTAAATGCATCTCAATTTTTTTTTCATGTGCTTCTAGAATATCATCGGTGTAACATTTTCTAATGGTTTGAGACAGATTACTTCCTCATCAGCTAACACATGTTCTCTGTAGCTATCAGTGCATCTCAAATAAATTTAATGTACCTAGAATGTCATTGGTGTAACATTATCAAATGGTTTGAGGCAGATTACTTCCTCATCATGTAACACATGTTCTCTGTAGCTATCAGCAATTTATATTTTAAACATGAATGCAGACGTGACTGCTTTTGATTATATAGTTGTTTTAGGAGTCATCATTTCAATGGCTTAAGACTTCTCTTTTTGCAGATTCCACACTTGAGACCTGCTGAGTACAAGAGGTCCAGGTTACCTAGAAACAGGAGGACTGTGAACCGTGCTTATGGTGGTGTGTTGTCAGGCAGTGCTGTACGTGAAAGGTATATTTTTGGTGCACCATAGTGTTCTCAAACTGTTAAAAATAAAATTAGAGTTGTTACAACTCACTAGATGTTGTCTTGTACAGGATCATCAGAGCCTTTTTGGTTGAAGAACAAAAGATTGTGAAGAAGGTTTTGAAGATCCAGAAAGCCAAGGAAAAGCTAGCATCCAAGAACTAAGCCTTTAATCCTTGATGATGTCGTGAGAGGAGTTTCTGATACTGCAGGCTACTAGGAAATCATGACTGTATTTGGATTTTTGGTCTTGAGATTTGTATGTTGCTGGTTTTCGTTAAAATACGATATTGGAGGCCTTTCTTCAGTTTGTCGAAATATCTGTTCTCGTAGGTATCTTTATTTTCTTCGTTCTGGATATTTAAACTTCTTATGGATATTTGCACTTTAATTCAACTAGGCTATTCGTTCCAGTTTTGAATCTCAAATACATGAATATGAGTTTGTTTCGATGCATTTTCAATCTCTATGAATCAATGTTTTACATCTGTTAGTGCTCTCTGGTTTTCTAGTCAGTATAAGCAGGAAACCCCTTTGTTTAGCAACATTTAGCAAACCAGAGTGCAATATCTGGTTGCTTTAGTTGTATTAACCCTGGCAAGTTAGCCCCATGCAATGATCTATTGCTTTTTACGAATAGAGTTGTGTAGGTATTACTAATTCAAGTATAGGGAATTTATATATATTATTTGACTACTAACTTTATATTAGTATGATATCATGTTCTGATTTTATCATACCAACTACAAAGATGGACAATAAATACGAAAAGGTAAAGAAGATATAGTTTAGTTTATGTTGCTTGGACTCTCTAAAACTCGAAATTATAGTAACTATAATAGTCTCTCACTGAAATTATGGCCTTGACAACTAAGGTCATTTTCTCTAATGTGGTATGATGTAATATCTAATCAAATTAAAGACCATGTGGCAACCCGATAAGACAATGGCAGATCAAATTAAGTTCGGCCCAACATTATCTTTGATGGGCTTGGTCCTTTATCGGAACGTACTAAGGCCCATTACTAGTAACTCTAATACCTCATGGCTCAATTCATAAATTAAAGTTAAAAAAATCACATAAATAACGCATGGATTCAAAAATTTGACATGTGGATGAATGACATTCAAGCCCAATTTTTTATTTTTTTGTTTATTTTCCAGTGTTTGGTACCGCATTGAAGTTTGACTATATCTGAATCATGCCTTGTAGGGTTCATACAAAAAAATCCCATACTCAAGTTTCAAATCCGAAACATCTGATTAACAACGGAGGCTCCCAACCATCCAATGACAAAGCCCAAGTGATTGTTTGTTCACAAGTCAATCTCTAAGGGTAAATCCATAGATCTTGAGTCAAAAGTTCAGCTAACCGTTTGAAATTGACTTTAACACTTCTATTATTGTAAATATTTATTCACATTAGATATTTATACCTAATAAAATGAAGTGAAAAATGTAGAGTTGTGGCAATGTATAATAGAGTAGAGAGATTTGGCTTAATAATCAATTCAAATATTAATATATTTATGTCACTATTTTTATATGAAAATCATAAAAAATAATATAGAAAAATCTGTAAATGAAATCAAGAAATCTTTATATGATCATTTTTCTCAAACCGACACCAATCTTGGTGCTTGCCATATAAAATAAATAAAAATGCAAGTTATAAAAAATAATAATGTGCATTTAATTAATGACTAAGAGTATACCCTAAGGATACATCTATATATATAGACTATATGATATAGTAATATCGGCTTGCTTGTAAAGTTATCAATGAATCACAGTACACATTTTTTATTAGAGTTAAAATATGTCATGTCATAGCAATATATTGGTGACAAACAAGAAAAAGAGAAAGAAAACAAAAGAACAATAAAGACGAACAAAATGAAAGGCTCTATAAAGCACTTGAAACAATATTGTCTCGTATATAATGGGTGTTAAAATGAGCGGCTTGGATTGAATTTGAGCAGATTAAAAAGAGTTGAGTTAATAAATAAGCGAGTCTATTTGAGCTGAAGTAAGTTGAACCAAAAAGCGGGCCATAACCTAATCCATTCGGTTTTTATTAAGTTTTAATTTCTGTATTTGTTCTTTTTAATATGCTTAAGTACTTAATAATAAACTATTTCATCTTTATTATGACTATATAACATATCAAATTGAAAAAAAATCGCAAAATATTTTGCCAAAGTTTCCATGGGTCAATTTGGGATTATATCAACCCAATTTCTAGATGAACTAAAATGAATTGAGCTAAAATGAGATAAGATAATAAATAAATAAATCAATAATAAGTAGGACATATTATGTTTTCATAAGCTAATTTTACAACTCCTCGTATAAAACATGAAAATTAATGCTCTTGGATATAATCTAGGCCCAAACCTTTAGAAGAAATGATTTGATTAGTCATGAATCAATTGAAAAACCTACATTAGAGAGTTTTTACAACACTAATCCAAAACTAAAACTAAGTCCAAACTAAAAAGTACCCAAAAACAAAAACAAAAATCCAAATGAAAGAAAACAAAAAGCTAACTTGTTGAAACAAAAAAACACAACATGACTAAAAATTAGTAGTAGCTCATATGTTACTTTCAAGTGTAACATTTGTTAGTAGAATAACTTGTAGACATTTCACTACTAGGACAAGGTGAAGAAGAATCCCAAAGCAAATTTGTCTTCCATGCATCAGCAGCCATATTCAATGGAAAATTATTCATCAATGGAATTACTCCAATATTATTAGACCTAACAACATTTCCCCATTGTAATTCCTCCATATGTTCCATGTTGTTGATTATAACATTATTAGCTTCCTTCAATGTTGTTGTAGTTGTATCATCATGAACACCACCACCTTCCATATTCTCCGGTAACGCGATAGAATAATCTCCAAATATAGAAGATGACATGTTTAGAAGCAAAGAAGAAGCATCAATATTGTTCATATTGTCAACACATGATGAAGAAAATGTGTAACTTGTGATAGGGTCATTATTGTGGTTTGACATTGAGTTGAGGGTTTTGTAAAGAGGAAGATCTAATGTGGTGAAGCTACTAGACATATTATTGTTGGATGAGTTTTGTAATAAGTCATTAAATTGGATAGGTGAAGTACTAGTTTTGTGTATAAATGATGACATTTCATTTGAATTATTAGTAAAATGGCTACTTGTTAGAAAATCATGAGATGTAGTGTTATTTTGAGGTAGTACTTGCGGTGGTGATACCCAAGAATGAGAAAGAGCTCTATGTGCATTGGAGTTTGCTTTCTTGAAAATCCTGCATATTGCCCATGAGTCCTAAAATATTCAACAAACAAAAATTACATTGGTAAAAACTTCAACTTCTATACACTAATAATAATAAAATAATATATAAAAATTATATTATCAAGTCAACTAAAAAATAATTATGGGAAGATCCACAAAATAAGTAAGATTATTAACTTGAAAAATAAGGCTGATTATCTACTATAACATGTTAATTACATAATGTAAATAAATTAATTTTATTGTCAAGGTATATAAGTTAAATTCATTAATTAGAAAAGAGTATGCCATAGAGCTTAAGTAGGAGTAATATATATCATCAATGTAAACAATTTTTACACTATTAGATCATTTTTACCTGTTACAACAGATAACATATCTTATTTTCAAGATCTCATATATATCTCATACTTTAATAAGACTTGCATATAAATATTAATCTTTTTAATGACTTGATAGTGTATAAAAATTACACTACCAATATATAAAACTTAATCTCTTTATAACAAAAGAAATCATTAACTTATTTTTGAACCGAGTGTTTATCGAAAACAACCTTTCTCTATCCCAGCCCCATGTAGGTGGGAGCCTGAGAGGTATATTTGCATACATCCCATTTTCTCCAGATCTCACTCATGAGACTATATATTAAATATGTTGTTAACATCATTATCTTTTACAACAGGTTAAAATACACTGATAGCGTAAAAAAATGATTAGTTTTAAGAAACTTACATTAGGAGGTATATGTTTGTCCAAGAATCTCTTTGGTGCAGTGGAGTCAGTAATAGAAGGCAATCTAAACTCATGCATCATCCAATCAGTTTTAATCCCTTTTGCAGCTCTTCCTTTGTAGAAAACAAGTGATTTTTTCAAGCCAATACATTTTGATCCTTCAGATGAATAAATTGGTCTATCAGTACCTGTTGCTTTCCAAAAACCAGCTCCAGTTACTCTATTTGGCCTTGCACTATTTCTGTATTTTCTATCCCTTGGACAATAAAAATACCATTCTTTTTCTCCCACTGCTGCCAACTCTGCTAAGGAAAAAAAACAACAACAAAAGAGTAGTTAGCTATGTTTCATCTTTTAAGGACATGAAGAAAAAAGAGAAGAAATCAAGAAAATTTTAAAAAAATGAGTAATTTTTATATTATCAGGTCAGCTTTATCTGTCGTAGATAACTTGCTTTATTTTCAAGATCACAAATCTGACTTTTGGAAAGTTACTTGTAAATATCTTTTGGGAGTTTGCTAGTGTGCCAAAAACTTTATATTGTCGGTATATATAAGTTAAACTTATCCAGAAATGGAACTAGTCACTCCTTGAAAAGTCAGACATGTTATCTGTTATAACATGTTAAATTATACTAAGTGTGTATGAGTTAATTAATCCAAAAACAAGTAGCAAGGATATATACAACATGAAAGTATAAAAACCCAATGAAGTCTTGATGCAAAAGCTATAACATATATGAACAAGCTTAGTATTACTATTTTGTTTGAAAGTTATGGTGGTATGGTTAGGTCCCTCCACCCTTAACCAGAGCTTGAGTCCTAAACATGATTTTTTTTTTGTTGGGCGTGTTGCAATGATCCTTACAACACGCGATCCAGATATAGTCAGACTCTAATACAAATACTAGACAATGGATTGAAAACCAAAAAAGAAAAGAAAAAAGAAGCACGAAGATGGATATATGATATGTTTTCTTACTTGGTAGATCCCATGGATCATATTTATAAATATCAAGTTGCTTGATAAGTTCAATGGATATTGGTTTTTGTTGAACTTTCCTCCTTAGATAAAACCCTACTAACTCTTCATCAGTTGGATGAAACCTAAACCCTGGAAGCATCACTTCATCCATATTTTTCTCTTTATCATTTCTTTCTTCCATTAAAACCCTAAAAGATCACAAAAATATAGAACAAACCCTAATACCTACCTACCTTACACAACCTTTTTTCCTAAACAAAAACAAAACTAACTATTGATGAAACCCTAATATTATTGTTGTTGTTGAAGAAGAAGAGTTTATAAGTTGAAGAGAGAAAATGTGTTAAGTTTGAGAATTAAGAAAATGATTATATGGTTCCTAAAGAGGGGTCTTCCTCCTAAAGATCAGCCGACTTTTCTGCTGACTTTAATAGCTCTATCTCTACTTGTTTGCCTCTTCTTTGGCAAGTACCAATTTTGGCTTTACTCTCGTATTATGTATACTGATAGTGTAAAGAATTTTTATATCGTTAGTGTGATACACAAAAATAAGTAAATCTATGTACTAATCTTGATATGTTATGCTATTATAAATTAAAGTACTAACCTTGTTGGTGAGAGTTCGATTTCTCACCTGTAATCTCTTCCCATTTTTCCTTTCCCTATCCTCAATATCTTTTTTTATTTATTTAAAATATTATATTTGACTTATATGCATAGATATTGTAAAATCTCTTCGTACTATCGGGGCTCGTTTAGTTGATTACAAGTTATTCCGAGATTAGTTATCATAGGTTACAATTTTGGTATAAGTTATTTTTGCGATTTTATCTCAACCAAATAAGAAATAAACTCCCTCTTAAAATAAATCCGCGGATTAGTTATTTCTTATCTCTTGTACCAAACGAGCCGTTACGGTATTATAATAATTGTACGTAGTAGGTAGTGGTGAAGTCATATGCAATTTTTTTTCAAAAAATTATACTGCATATAGGGATAGATTTTTTTTTATTGTACTATGAATTTTGAATCTCCTTAACATACGAGAAGTATATGTTCAAATCCCATGTGTGGCATTTTTTTTTGTTAGAATTTCTGGACGATTCGCCACTGATTTCACAAGTGAAAACTTTTTTTTTTTTTTCTCATGTTGCTAATCTTGTTTTTTTATGAACAATTAATACTTTTAATCATATCTTTTAGGTGAAACTAAAAAACAAAAAAAGGGAAAAATAATGTCAATTAGAATTAATCACCTACCAAGGATCAACTCTTAAGGTAAAGAAAAAAAAATGAATTCCCAGCAATGACTCTTATTTCTCACTTCAATGTCTTGTTGTACCAATTTGTATTTTGTTTATTCCAAATTTAAGAATCTCAAGAAACTCACTAAATTGACCCTTATAGGGATATGATATTATTAAGTGTTGTTTCATGACTATACAATATATATTGATCTTTAATATGTCAAGATATATAAATAATTAATGTGTGTATATCAAGACAAATTAAACTTCCAAGTAGTTATATATTTTATCAATTGCTAATTTGAATAACTATTTTGAAAACAATAGAGTCACAGACCAAAGGCACATTTCCCAAGACAAAAGCACAAATTATATTCAAGATGTAAAATTCCCTATGTGAATAGCCTCAGACTTATGATTATTTATTTTTAAAAAAATATAATTTTAGAAAACTATATAGTTATCTCAGGATCCAAAAAAATCTATTTCCTTCTATTCCATTCTTTCATGCAGCTTCTATTCCACTGACTTGTCAGATTAAATACAGTTTCTGCTAAAGTAAGTAATTGACTATATTATACTAAAAGATACTCTTCCAGCTAAGGTAATTAAGGGATGCTTATTATCTTAATTATGAAAAATTGAGGGGTATTTTAGGGATAATAAGTCCTAAAATTAAAATTAGTGTTAAACTTATACTCTAGTTGATCATTTTGGGGTCCACAAATAAATTCAAAAGGATTTTTAGTCACAAAGATTTTGACTTTGTTGTCATAACATTTTTCAAGCCCTAAGGCCTAAGACAATCTCAAATTAAATGAGTAGCTGTAGTTTCATAGTATATAGTTTGAAGATAATTATTATTAGTAGCTATAATTTGCTTATTTATCACACATTACTTACTTTTTAGAGTAGTTGTATCAGTTCGTTAATAGATCATATCAGTTCGATAATAACATATATTTATTCGCCATATATTAGTAATATAGTTTTCTGAAAAAATCACTTGCACCAATTATTACCAGCTTGTATGACTTGTATTTATTCATTCGCAAAATTTAATTGATGTTGTCTTATTGATTTATTTTAAATTATATTAATTTATTTAAAATACTTCATGATTTTTATTGTTATTTGGTTATTTATCATGCCAATATTTTTGCTAAGTTTCTACTATTTGATGTATAATGGGATCCTCCAATAAGTATATTGAAATTATGTGATACTAATCAATGTAATATAATATCATCATCCATACCTAACAAATTGATACATTATATTCATATTATTCTTATTGAGGTTATTACTCATGATAGGAAAGAAAAACGATTTATGTATGGAGTTAAATATGCAACATTTACGGATAGAAGTGTTTGGTTAGTGGAGAAATATAAATATTAATGTCGAATCAAAATCAACTAAGACATAGATAAAACACTAAATCAAACTTTCTTTAATGTCAAAATAATAGCTGTGAATAGTCACAATATTATATACTTAATTTTTTTTATCGGATATCTTCTAAGGGACCAATATTATATACTTAGAGACGTCAATATGGGCTAGGCCCGTTGGGTCGACCTGGCCTAACCCGTGATTTGATAGGATTGTGCTACGATTTTTGGAGCCCATTTAAGAAAAAAAGCTTTTTAGCCCGGCCTGAATAAGCCTGTCAATTTGTAGGGCTTGAGAAATATGGATAGGGCCTGCCCGTGGGTCAAGTAAAAATTAATTAAAAAATAAAAATAAAATAGAGTATTAATAATAACAAGAGTCTATACTCAAAATCTGTTTAAAGTTTGAAATATTACAATTTAAATACAAATTATGTTTATAAAATATGTACTATATAAAATAAAAATTCCTAAAATTTCTAGGAAATCACTACATAGGCCATAGCCTATGGAATTATTGTCTTTAGTTTTTGTGTTTTATTATGATCATTGGAAAACAATTAGGTTAATATTTCTATTTAGCTATTTATGTTTTACTTGAAATCAAACTTAATAAATATTATATAGATAATTTTATTTGTGTATTTGATTAACAAGTAGTAAAACTAACCCCATGTAATATTGTCTTATCGATATTTATGATAATATTTTTAACTTATAATTTAATTAAAAAAATTATAAAAAATATACTTTTAAGAAAAGAGGGCTTGCCCGGCAAAGCCCGTAGCCCACATACTCGTGGGCCGGGCTGACCATTTTCTAGCCCACATAAAAAATGGGCTAGCCCGGCCTGGCCCATCAAATAGCAAAGCCTGTATGGGTTAGTCCGGATATATTGACAACTCTATATGTACTTAATTAACTATGGAAAGAAACAGAAAGGTGAAATCAATTATTTCTGTATTAGTATGTGTTTGAAGTTATAAATTAGGGGAAGTCTGGAAATAATAAACTCATAAGCCTATGAGAAAAATTAAATAAGCAAAAATGAGATTTCTTACACGTAAAAATAAAGATCTCTTATGATTACTTATAACTTAAATAGACAAAATGACTTCTTTTTTTTTTGCTTCAGATCGCTTACCTATAAAAATAAAAAATTCTAGTAAAAAGAACAAATAAAAATGTAAAGGGGTACAAAATTTAAAATATTGTGCCTTATAAAATGAAGAAAAAAAGTTGTTAAAATAAGTAGTAAAGGTGTACGAATCCCAAGCTGCTCTGTTACCTAAATACCCACTCCACTTTCATTTTTCTCTAAATGAGGAGACAAAAAGAATTAGAAAAACTAAAAGAAAAGGAAAAAAAGAAGAAAAATAAAAATTGTGATAATGTGTTGCTTATATATAGTTTTGGGTCAAAATTGCTCTTTTGTACTTGCTTTCAAATATAACGGAGAAAATGTTCATATTTGTTTTTGTACTTTGAAGATTTAGTTTGATCTTGTCCCTACGATATTGTGAATTTTGAGTCAAAATTATAACAATGAGAATATAAATGAGTTGAATTTTTAACTGAATGCAAAGTTATCATACCATTCCAAGTAGATCATAACTAAATTTGACTTATTTACGTACACTTCCAAAATGATAAAGAAAAAAAATAAATTAAAAATCGTGGTAATGAAAAATATATAATTAGAAAATCAAAAAAGAGAATAAATACTTTCACTTCTTTTCTCACCTTTTTTTTATCCGTTCAAAGAAAAAAATTCTTGTTCATTTATCTATTTAACCAAGCTGTTAGAAAGTTAAAAATGCTTATTTGTTGATTTTTAGAAGCTATTTTTAAAAAAAGTTTTTTTCTCGAAATATTTTTGAAATCTTTGTCGGAAATAAATTACTACTTTAATATTGATAAAAGCGTTTTTACTCTTCAAAATATATTTTTTAAAAAATATTTCTTAACATTTTTTTTCCTGAAAAACTTGGCCAAAAAGACTTATTATTGTTGTTCAAGTGTTAATTACATCAAATTGATGCAATTTATGGTAGTTAAATAATTTAATAAAGTAAATTCATTAAATAACTATGATTAAGTAACATTATTATATATTCATGCATACATGACATATATTTATTGATCTGATATAAACATTTGATACAAATAAATATTTATCATAGTAGAGTTTGCCTGCCCAATTTTTTTTTCACTCTTCTTGTTTTGTGGTTGTCACGTGCATGATCATTTATGTGAGTAATTTCCCTAGATAGTCACCCATGTTTTGGGAAATTACCTAATAATATCACTTATGTTTGTTTTAGGACTACAATATCACCCAACTTTACATATTTTCCTCAAAATATACTTGACACAAAAAAAAGCATCATCTCTCTCCTAATGGGATGCCATGTCACATTATTCCCTTTTTATTATTAATAATTTTTAAATTTTACATAGCGCCAAAATTTTGTACCCTAGTTCTTGAGGGATTCAGAGGCAAATCCATTTAAAAAAAATATATATTGCTAAAATTATCTGGATTAAGATAATTAATTATTTTTGTATTAACCTAATTGAGACTTTATAAGTATCCGGCTATAAATGCTACGTGTATA